CCGGTCACACGAGACTATGAACACGACGACAGTCACTGAATGTACAGAAACATACACAGTTAAATAAGAGAAGGGGCAGAGCGAACCAGCCCGAGCAGTCCGAGAGGTGCATGTTTAGAGTGCTTGCTTTTTTGCCTTTTTTTTTTTCCCTTCTTCTCGAGGAAAATAACAGAAATGGACCCAAAACGCCCCCAGGGCACAGCGTTAGGCCCTGCAGGAGCCTGGTGCAACGCACGGGGGAAGACTCCAGGGTTAAGCTCCTGTGGGACATGACCTAGGAGAGAGATCTTTGGGTTGCTCTGGTTTAAAAATAACAAACCCTATACCTTCTGCACTGCAGAAATCGGGGGGGAAAAAAAAAAAAGAATCCATGCAAATGGTTGTTTTCTTTTTGTCACTATTCTAAAAGCAGGCCCCCGCCATCTGGTTCCTTACGTGGGAAGGAAAATGAGCGATACTTCAGTTTCCAGGGATGCTGCTTTCGCAAGGAGGCATTCCTTTAGCTTGGGACACGGTGACTCGCTCAGCACGGGTGTTGGCCTGGCGGCAGAGTGCGCTGCCCCGGGACAGAGTAGAAACTCTGAGAAGGAAGATCTGAGTTCAGAGAGGCCTTTTAAAATTATTTTTTGGAACACCTTGATGTTTTCAGCTTCAACTAACTAGTACGATTGTCCTCAGTCCGTGATCCTTTCCAAGGGTGAGTATTTTTTACACCCCACACCTGCAATATGATTAAGGAGAAAGAGGTCTGATGTTCTTTTAAGTCTTTAAAGTCTTTTCATGTTGTCAGAAGTCTTTTAAGACTTTAAAAATGCTCCTGAAGGGCAGTATTCACCTGGAATATCCAGTTTCCAAGTCTCCTATTTTCCTATTGCTCATACCACTTTTGACTTGTCATTAAACCAGCTAGCAGCCTGAAGAAAGCAGAGACTCTTCTCCCACACGAGCGACATCGCAACGCCCAACGTCGTAACGCGACTTCCAGTGAGTGTGGGAACTGCAGTCGCTTGGCCCTGCTGATAAAGTCCATGGGCTCCCAAATCCACCGAATTCAAACCCAGTTATCACTACACTTGACTAAGTGGGTGCTCTGAACACCCCAGTACGGTGGTTCAGCGAGAAAAGAGAAATCCCAGGCGCAAATTAATCCACATTTTGGCAAGACACTTCAAAGCTACCTCAAAGCAGTTCGGAGTTGGCCAGTATTTTCAGTCTGATTTCTCCCATCACGCAGAGTCACTATTTCCACACCACATTAACAGATGTGTTAATTACCAAAGCAATACCTGCTACAGGTCTTTGCTGGCGAGTCAGACTTCCTCTCGTCTGAGTGTTAAGTCCTCTCGTATCTAAGAGCTTTAACTCCGTAAGGCCTGATACCACAGCCTACAAACACCTGTAGTGCTTACCCACACGGGTAATCCTCATCTAAATCAGTGGGAGTACTTATGGAAGAGTCCTGGATTCACACTCAGTGCAGCACAAGAGAACAAAAGATCAAAAAAGCCTCTCTCAGTTTTTCAGTCTCAAGGGCCATTAAGACAAAACATTCTTCTTGGCTTTTGTTTTATAAATAAATGTATCCTGTTGTGCAGGGATGTTCTGGGATGAGTTTTCAAGCAGAGTGAGAGGAGGTTTAGACTTACACAGTACATCCCATCAGGAATCAATGCGGTTGTAGTCATGTTCTTGCAAATACCAGAAGGCATTAAATAACCAACCAACCAGACTTGTGAAAGAGAATTCTGTAAGAGAAAAAAAACAAAACCAAAACTGCCTTAAATGATAAACCTTCTCTTTCCCGTTCTCCTGGTCCCTAAACGTAACAAATTCTGTACACAGACCAGGTCCACCAAAGCAGGCAACCCTCACAGACGGCTTTCTGAGTCCCATAAATAGTGGTCCACTAGCACGTTTCTTTGTTTCCTGAGTCCAGGGCTGGTCATTTTATGGAACCGTCCAAAGGAATTACAGTGCACTGTTAACAAGGCTATTTGGGGGGAAAAAAAAAAAAATCAGAGTAACCAACTCTCCATCCAGTCTTCAAGGGAAAAACATGCCCACTTGGAGGCAGCCACAGAGACTTCCAAGGTGTGCTCCTTCACCCTCATTTTCTCCTGGCACAGCTATCTGTGGGTCGCAGCAGAAGCTGCTGCGCAGGCTAAGCCGAGCCTTCTTTTGTTTATAGCCATTTTTCCCTGCAAACACTGGAGGGGAAAAGAGATGTGAGTAACTCCGTACCACCCTTACGCGCTACTCTGATTTCCATCGGTTTGTTCCAAACAACCGCAGGTTTAAGACTGCACTGTTCCTTCTTTCTGACACTACGTGGTAAAACAGGGCAGGCAGCATGTAAACAGTTCTCGAGGGCTGGAAAAATAATAATTTAAACGGACTGCTTCGGCACACCTTCACAGCTTCACTGTTCTGTCCATCCCCGCACACGCACGCAAGGAGCCACCGCGCTGCCGCTGGTGCTCCTGTTCTGCAGGCAGCCTGCTCGCATCCAGCTGGTATATTCCCTTTCACCTTGGCTGCTGAAACAAAGACACGGGAAGCAGTTCTGCCATACCCTGGCAATTTACATCACGTCCTCCTGTTTAACGGCTCCTATTAAAAATATACACACGTCATCTGCCAGCTAGCCTCCAGTTAGGCAAGCTTTCCCCCCCCATACAATTTAAATAAGTTGTTTACTGGAGACACTTCCAAAAAGGAAAAGTAAGGGTCAGCAGACATGCCAAAAAGTCCAGAGCAAGCAGAGGCTTCACTTCTCCTCTTGTCCTTTTTGTGAAAAGCTGCATAAAATAGCATCCCAGAAGGATTTTGAGGGTTCTTCTTCATGGTCACTGGGGACTTAAACCCTCTTAAAGCATGAACAAGAGCTCCAAGGTTTTAGTTGAAGTTAAGTGAACATATAACTTAAAACATACTGAGCTCCAGGATACCCTTATATCTGGGCATTTGGGAAGGTGACAGGTACAAGCAAGAGACGCCGCATGGCTTCTTCACTCGTGTTCCGCTGAGAAAGTCCTAGGTTTAGCGATGTGCACTTCGCTGCCGCCGTTCCCGTTGGTGGTTGTAGTGATTATGTACTGGGTGGTCTGCTGCTGACCGCTCGTTTGAGATTCCAAGGTTTCCGCGTGGGCTGGTGGCTGGGAAACGCCGACCTGCACCTCATTGGAGAGCGAAGAGTTTTGCTTGACGTCCAGATCAGGCTGACCTTCGGATATCACATAGTGAGTCTGCATGGGGAATATAAAAAATATGTAATAACTTGTTGCATCTTTCATACCTTTTCTGTTCTAATATTCTGTAACTTTCCTGTTGTGGTGCTGGAAGACATTTTGGTATGAACATGGAACCTGGAAATTAAGTTGTACTTCATTTAAATGAATTTGGGAGCAACATAACCCTTGTCTTCTGGTTTGGAGTACACTGGACTACTTTGCATTTAGTTAACTGACGAACGATTAAACTAATTATACAATTAACCCTTCACTACAAATTAAAACAGCCATTTTTAATACAACTATTCTGAAAGTTTTTTCTATTTGTAGTTGTAGCAGAAGGTGCATTGCCAGAGTCCAATATCAATGCAGTACAAAGGCCTGTCCCAGAAAGCCAATGCCCTTTTGGGCTATACAGTCTGGACCTCTTCAGATCCACCATTCTTCTTTACTCTCTGTGCCCCGGTCATCACTCTGGGACTCCTTATACCTCCGAACTGAAGGCTTTCAGCCTTATACATTATTCTGGATGGAAAAAACCCCAAAGCCATGATTGTTTTCCTTACCTGAGTAACTGCTTTCACTTGCCCTGTGTTGACAGTGGTGACTGGTGTACCTACAGCGGTTTCCGTGATCACGTACTGGCCTTGGGGAATGGTCATCATCTGAATTTCAGATGCTAAAAAATGGAAATTGGAGAAACAAGACCTTCAGTCAATCTCAAGCACAACCTTGAAAAATAGTATCTTAAGTCAGGAAGATTTCAAGCCTGAAACAGCCCTTATTGAATAGGAATTCAGGTACCATAAAGCCTTGTATAATTCAACAGGCCCCAACAGATTTACGCCAGCTAACATCAGCTGTGGATTTGGCAACTCCTGCATAGGCAACACCTCCTGTTCTCACTGGAGAAATCACAGAGTTACGATCCAGAGCTACACGGGCATGAGAAATCATTCCATGTCACCCTCATCTTCCATATGATTCTCTCAAGCATCCATCCACATTTGAACAAGCTGCTACACAACACATGGATCCTTGCCGAATGCACACTCTTCGGAACAAAGGAGCCCAGTCTGCCTGCCCAAACCATGGATCAGATAATTACAGACCTATGGCAGAAAAGCTAGTACCACCATTTTCATTTGTCTGAAACCCTGTTATTTTCTTAGACCTCTATGAATATTAATCACAACGCTTAATGAGCTCTGAACACACTATCCTGTTTGGTAGCTGGAGGAATGGAGCACGTAGTAGTCCCACGCATGAGCCAGCCTACTAGCGAGCACTACTGCTGACACTTACAATAGCCCCGAAACGAGTTCCACGTGCTGGGAAGGTACGTGTGCTGAACTGAAGACCCTTGCTGCTGCTGCAGGGCTTGGTTTGGTGTAGGTGTAGTGGTCTGCATCTGTGAGGGGCTGAGCTCCTGCTGAGATGGTTGTGAGGACGGACTCAAAGGCTGACCCCCAACCTGGAAAAATATAAAGTGTAAATGATCTTGGTGTACTAAGGATCAACACCTCTGTGCTGTTACAAACATATCCTTATTAAGGGAAAACAGGAGTGGGCAGTGGGTTCTATAGCATATAGAGCACAAGAACTGCAAAGCTCTCTTCCCTCTCCTCCAACTTGCTTCATCTATGGTTAGTAAGCAGAGATTGGGCAACTGAAATAAGAGATGTAGCTCACACCAAAGGTTACGTAGCGAGTCTGTGGCAGAGAACTTAGATGAGAGGCTAAATGCTACCCACAGCATGAAGAATTGAACTTCAGATCTTTGGGGAATGCCAGTTTCCATTTACATCTTTCAGTTGACTAACTTCACTTAAGCTGCAATTTGTCTGGTCCCAGCAATTTAACTCTACTTGCTACCAAAACTCCATTTCATGTGTGGTTCTTTTAATGACATAGAAAAGGCTCTCTTCCTGTATCAGACTGGTAGGGAGAACACTTCCTGCAAGCCAAGAGTGAAATACCTGCGATGACGACTGAGTTGCTGGCGATGGCTCTGTGACCTGGATGTGCTGCACCTGGATAGCGTGCTGGGTGTATGTCTGGGGGTCGTGAAGCTGCCCAACGTCCACTGTGGAGTGCTGGGACTGGTGAGGTGAGGTAGCCTGGGGAAATAAACCCAAAACTGAGGTGTATGCTTCAAATTCTTTGCAGAAGCAGCCACGTAAAACTCTCCTGTGACACAAGGTCTGGAACCATGAGGTATGAGACTTAGTGAGGACATGGAGCACTCCTGTTCAAGCCTGTGTTTACCCTCTTTGCATTCCTGGGAGATAAAGAAGTACCCTTAATGGGTGTAATGGCATCAAGCTGGATACTCCTCAGAGAGGAAAGGACTTGCTGTCTTACTTACTTGCCATCATACAAGCTGTCTGTGGCAGAAGCTGGACTCAAATCAAGGGTGTGAAAACCAGGATTAGTGTCACCCACTGGACCATCCTTTTTTGTAAGCATCTTTCTGTAACGTGATACATACTCAGAATCTGCAGCTCCAATACTGACATAGCTCTGTATCGAGACAAGCGCTCAGAGATTTACAGACTAAAGGCTTTCTCGGGCAACACCTGCTAATGACACCAATTGGAGTAATTTAATGGGAAGTCTCAGATCTTGGTAAAATTAATATTAGTTGCAGGAATCAGTTTTCATGCTCCTGTATTGGTAGAACAGCCACAATCAGTATTAACTGAGGCCATTGTTTAGGCCTTCAGTAACCAAATTCATAACCTAATTTGTAACGAGGGGCCAGAGAGAACACGGAATTTCAGGTTCAATCCACAAGCACACGGTAGTTTCAGCTTCACCCAGTGGATAACAGATTTGAAGGCTACAGCTATTTCTTAGAGCGGCCTGAGTTGTTTTCCTCAGCTCAGTTACTCTAGTCACACTCCCTTTTTATTCTTAGGAGGCTGTTGAGCGTCACAGAGAATGAATATTCTAATAGATGATAGGAAGGGAAGAAAGCAAGTGCTTTCTACGCTTCCAAATTTTGGCTCTGGCTTACTGAGAGGAAGGAAGTACAAATGAGTCTTCTCAACTGCAAAAATGGGTCACCCACTGACCCACTTTTCCAGTTGCTGGAAAACCTTCCTAGAGCAGACTCCAGCAAAGGTGCCTAGATGGGTAGGATATGTCTCCAGCAAGCTGATTAAGGCCGGCAGGACTCTATGCCTTGTACACAATGCTTACAACAGGAACCCTAAGCACTATCTATCAATTTATCTGTCAAAACCAGTCTGCATCACTTCTTGTAACAATTCCTTAAACTTCCAAGCACTACAGCCCCAAGAAATCAAAGGGTTGACATGGAGAGGGTCAAAAGCACATCCAAGAGGTCACTCACCTGGGCCACTTGAACAACCTGCAGCTGTATGTGCTGAGGCTGCTGCAAGCCAGTTGTGGCCTGAGACACAGGGATGTACTGGATTCGCTGGTAATCTCCCTGGGGAGTTCGATAGTCTGTTGTGAGGGTCTGGGATATCTCTGTCATTGCTTGTGTCAGCAAATCTGTTGTCTGAGCAGGTAGAGAGAGAGAGATACAGGCCACCATCACATACTGTCTGCTGGATTGAACGCTTTTGAAGGGCTGTCTGCCTTTCCTCCTCACCTGCCAGAGCGGTACTTTTCTTGACAACTGTATTTCTAAAGTGTGTAAAGAGATTTGGGACCTAACTAATGAGGTTTATGAAGCCAACAGCATCCTGGTTGAACCTGCTCATTTTTCAGCAAAACAGTCTTTTAACCAGTATCAGTCTTCAAACAGGAAATTTTAAACCGTGGTTATTAAGATTTTTAAACCAACATAGCATCCCAGCACCACCAAAGGCCACAGAACTGATTTTCTAGCCTCAGCTTTCACTGCCGTAGAAGCTGATACATTAACAGTGATCAGCGATTAACAGATCAGCCTCTGGAGGTTCCTATCGCTCAGTGCTGCACTGTCTGAAGGATTACAGAGATCCTCTCTCCTTGGAACAGAATTCGATCCAGTCCCCAGGCATTGGTAAACATGTCCTCCCAATCCCAAGAACTGCAAACGCACTTTGGGGTTTCGGGAACAGTTCCAGTGAAAACCCACGCGATGTGTATTCCCAAATTCATTAGGCATGTGTGAAAGTGGCACACGGGTCTGAGTGAAAGAAGGGAATGGAGCAGGGAAAAGGGACAAATCCTTAGAGCTCCAGAAAGAAATATGTAATTCCTGGCAGAGGAAAACTACAACACAGACTCAGGAACAGAAGTGATCTCAAATGATGCTCTAACAGACGCTTTCAAGTGATGTCTGCCAATAAACACTGCTATACCAGAGGGCTTCTGTTCTGTTTGTTTCCCTCCGTTGCCCCGATCTGCCGTGCCTCAAACCCTTACCACAACAGTCTCTCCGGTAGTGCTGTCGGTGGTTAGAACGGCAGGAGTGGAACTGATGACAGCTGTGGCCAGCGGGGCATGTATCGTATTAGGGAGCTGAGCAAACTCCGGATGCTTCTTGCGAATGTGCTGTACCATCTTCGTCTACAGAGAGATGCAAAGAGCATAAGAAAGACGGTCAGCGACTCTTCTTCAGGCCAACTGAAATCAAAGAGCCCCATGGAATGCAGCTTTTAAGTTCTCCCTCAGTAGGCAGCATCAAGAGTCACACGATGGGATGTTCCAGTCAGCAAGAAGGAAACACGAATCACAAAGTTGCTGCTGCTGACTACAGCTATCTGATACTGAAATATTGCCCCATGTGTCACAGCCCATAAGCTTTTTACCCCAGCACAGCCAAATATTTTGGGGATCTTTCCCAGAGGTCACCTTTTCTGCATTTCGTTTCCCCACTCCTCGCCTTCATAACTGTCAGTGAGCAGTTTCCAAGCCCCTCTGTGACCACACTTTCATTTCTTCTTTCAAGCTCATGCTCTCTATTTAGAGAACCTTTTTGCCATAAACCCAGCAGGCTGCGCCTGTACTGTCAGCACGCAGTGGGAAACCAGCACTCAGACTAAGAGAGCTCTGCCTGTGGACTGAGAGATGACAGAGACCGTGGTGAAAAAGCATCACCACGGAGGGCTGTCTTCTGAGGCTATGAGACAACCCCCATACCTTACTGCTGTACTGCTTGGAACAGTGAGGACAGCAGACTGGAGGGGTGGCTATGGTGCCTGTCAGCTGGGTGTGGGTGCTCAGCATGGGATCCGGCTCTCCCGGGCCCGCAGGGCGCAGTTTCCGGATGCTCGGAGGTAGCTCAGCACCAGGATGATTCTTCAGGATGTGCGCTTTGCGTTTACTGGCACTCTTGTACACCTGCAGGGTAAAGATTTGGAATGAAAATGGTGTAATCCAATCCTGGCAGAAGCCAGGGAGTAAGAACAGGAACCCAAAGGCAGTGCAGAAGCAGCTTCAGGCTCCACTGAACACTGGGAATTACCAGCATGTGACTAAGTAAGCAGCTTAAAATAAAAGGAGTTGAAGACTAACTTATAGAGGTGATAAAGAAACCAAAATAAATTAATGTTCAGGAATTATAGATAGACAGGATACTTAGTCCTGGATTGCAAAAAGTGATACAGGGCTAAGGGTGGGTAGGTGGGTGGCTGCTTGCTGGATCACAAGTTCAAATTATACCAACCCCAAAGACAGCAGAAAAGAACTACAAGTTTCAATTAGCATTAGCCTTAGCCTATATGCATTTCATCTTAATTTCTTTTGGACAGCGCTGCAGAAATGTTGCTGGCAAGCACCTCAAAGGATAAAAGGCTAGAAACCCTGCCAGATGTTTCTATGTAGAGACAAATTGGTTGCATGCAGGTCTAGGAGTGAACTACCCTTCAAGAGGTGACTTCCTTACATACCTTATCACAGTACTGACAGAAGTAATCTCTGTTGGGTTTGATGATGGGCAACGTGAGCTCTGGCACCTCTTCTATTTTCATGTCTGGATGTCTCTTTGATAAATGATTGACCTTAGGAGAAAGAAACAAAGAGAACAAGAGAGCATATTACAGATGGGAGCCAAGCAATTGCTTCTTCTCCCAGACAGCCAAGCCCAAACTATAATGATGCTATCCAGCACCACCCAAAGTATTTGCTGCTGCAAGGCTTATTGTGCATTCACAGTCTGCTGCTGAGGGTAAACACGGTCTTGCTAGATCACGTTTACAGCTTCTCTGATCAAACTAACATGGGAAAGGATAAAATAGCTTACTAGAACTCTCTTGCAGCCGAGAGTGAGGTAATATAAAGGACCTCTGCTAGCAGAAATAACCACCCTCATGAAATATCTGCAATCGAGATCACTTGCTGCATAACAGCCCTTCACACAGTGGCAGTTACAGGGCATGGCCAGGAGAGGCCCCTCAAGAAGGGGAAGAAACAAAAAGATGGGAAAGACAGTCAGGAAAACCAAGGCAGGAAGGCTAGCCTAGGCAATATATTAATCTCATGTTCCGCTAAATTACGTTACGCATCAATCAGCATTAGCATAGTGACAACCAGTCGTACTACACCGGCAACGAAATACTGAAAAGCTCATATTTGCTGAAGAGAAAAGACATGCAGGTTTAAAAAAAAAAAAAAAAAAAAGTGTATTATGTCAGGTCAGCTACAAAATTCCCCCCAGTTTCACAGCATCCTTATGTTCCCACCATAGGAATTCCATCTTCATTCCTTAGCTGTTCATCAGAATCGAGTACAGAAGTTGTAAGAGAAGCTGGAGCACACGGACACACTCACCAACATCCCCCTCCGGCGGAAACCCATCATGCAGAGTCGGCACTTGAACATGAAGCTTTCGTAGTCAGTGGAAGCTATCCGGGGCTTGAACGTTTTCGAGCGGCTGATTCGATCAGCTTTCTTGGCTTCCCTCTCCGGGTTGTGCATCCTCTGCATGTGCTCTCGCAGCTTGTCTTTCCTCTAGGGAGCAATCAGGGAGAAAAATATCAGCACTGCTTACTGCCTTACTAGCTGTTCCAAGAAGAGCCACCATGCGAGTTGTTCGGAGACCTCTTGGCTTTTCCTCCCCAGCGCTGCCGTGGGATAGAGTTGCCTGTTCAGTGCTGGACAACTCAGCAGGATCCCTTTGGGCCTAGGTTTAACCTCAAACCAAGCTGAGGTTGCTCAGCCCCAGAAGCAGGAGCCAACTAATGCTACTTTAGCAGCCTCAGTGAGAACAAACTCCTCCACTCTGGCTTTTCTTTGAATTTATCTAAAATACTAGTGCTCAACTCGGTACAGCTGGAAACGGGCATCAAATAATGCTCTTGACTGAGGAGGATCAAGTCCTACAACAGTACTGACCCGACTGCCCAGATGCAATCCAGCCTCTCTGGACATAGCGTCTTGAACGTGCTTCTTCGCCCAGAAGTATCCAGTCCCTCAGTATCCCATAAGAAGCGAAGTGACATGGAGCAGGCTGCTGGCACCACGGTTTACCTGGCTCAGTCTGCCCCATTTGTACTGGAGGGATCTGGAAAGGCATCTGATGTCAGGTGCTGACAAGATGCATCCCGTGAACACGGGCACCTGGGCCAGGAATATTATTAATCCACTGATATCAGCAAGAGGTTTCCTTAACTACACCGATAAAGCAATACAACCCAAGCACCTGGCAACTGAGCTGTGTAACGACCCAGTTCCTAATGAGCAGGTAACAACTTCCTTTGCTATTAAACTATGAGGAGGAAGATCTCATAGATGAGACACCCTGTTAGGGCACAGCGTGCTGGGGTGAATCTCGCCCCGCATCCATCAGAGGTGAACATCATAGCTCACACATGACACGAAGCATTGCACACAACCTGCAGGCAAGTGTAGCACGGCTACATGTTAAACTTCTTCCCCTTTTAAGAACATGAGCTTGTTTGCTTGAAGGAGGGTAAAGAATGGTGTTTGTCCACCTGTATCAGGAATGATCCAGCCATCTAACCTTGAACTGCTTGCCACACGTGGAGCACAGGAAGTCTTTGCGGTCTGAGTGTCGCAACATATGGAGTCGCAGCTTGTCGGGACGGCAGAAAGCCTTGTCACATTCCGTACATTGGTAAATCTTCTCTGAATGGAAACTGCGTACGTGTTTCTTAACCTGGAATTGCAGATCATAAAAAAAACGGAATTCATTGATAGGAGAAGAGTGTGTGGCAAAACAGTCTAGGAAGCTCTTAGCAAAAAGAAAAAGAAAGTAAGAGGTTTTAAGAGTTCTCTAATCTGTTTTGGCTTAGGAAGTATTTTATCAGAAGAGTTGATAACTTGGCAATAGTTTCTATAAAGCCCTAACGTCTTCATGATCCATCTGAAGGGTCAGTTTGATTTCCTCCAGACTGAATGTCAAAGGCATCGGCTTTTGCACAGTTGAGCACCTAATGGGCAGCAGAAGTCCACAATGTACCATTCTACTGACGTGTCCTTGAGTGAACACATTCAATATCTTTACTTCGTTTGTAAGAAATCTAAACAAAAGGCCTAACTCCTTTCAGTCCGAGTGAATGAGCTTACAGTTACAGCTGGCCAAAAGAAACTTAGAAAAGCATTTGCACGCCATTCCTGCACAGCAATTCCTTTTGCAGACTTTGGGACTATCCTTGACCTCTTCGAACATCTAGTGGGATTTTTTTAACCCAGTAAAGTAACTAATGAGGGCTGACATTTGAAATCCAAGCACTGCTCAAGAAATGGATTAAACCTTTACCACCTTCTGATGCTGATCGTACACGGAAAAACTTGATTTCTGTTCCACATAACAGTAATTAAGTAGGCAGCAATCTACAGTGACTGGACTTAATCATTCATATAGCACTGAATGAAAAAAATCATCTTGAAATTCCAAACCAGAGCTAAATAGCTGGCAAAAAGCCGTGGGACCTTCTTCCGACTGGCTCAGTTTCACGGGAATGTTTATGGGGAATTAGGTTGCAGTAGAGCATTTCTGAATCATCAACATTTTTCCTCATTCAACATTTACACAAGATAAAGGTTTTTTGCTGGGATGGAATTATATTAGTAAACCACTTTCCCCTGATCCTTTCCTCTTCAGCCTGTTGGATAGTCTATCACTTCCTATTACGTGACATAAACTGGATTTCTACATCTCAATTTAAGTCAGGCAGCTCAGCGAGACACATCCAGCTCTTTATCCATATGAAGGATAATGAATACGTACATGGTACGTTTCAGTTTTTTCTTACTCAACATCGAAACTGCATCTTTAAATTCTATTAACCATCTTCTGCACACAGTAGTTAGATTACTCCCTACTCCAGTGCAGCCTCTCCTAAGCAGTGTGCGGAGAGGAGGAATAAAGTACCCAGCTGAAGGCCAGGGGGAAAGTCGGGAAGCAGAGTATCCTGATCTGTTCTGGCGTTTCTGCAAGGCGTTCAGGTGAACTACCCTGATGAAAACAGTCAAGGGATTAGAAGATATTTGTATCATGTAAAAACACCACTTTTTCCTGCTCAGTTTTAATGACAAAGGACAAGCTGTATTCAAGTACAAGCTGCCTACAGCGGAAGACTGGTTCTGTTTGTGCCATGGATCTGTACTGAGCAAGAGGAGTTGGGACCTTTGCTTCAGGCACTTCTGGGGATAAGGGACCACCCTTCCCACACTCCAGTGCCTCCTAATGCCAGACTGAAGCACCACATCTGATGATTTAGTGGAAAGAGCACTTCAGTGGCATGAGACAACATCTAGTAACGCTCGGTCGCTCTTCCTTTCTAAATTCTGACTGACGTGGACCCCTTTGTCTTGCGAGAATGAACCGACCCGCAGCGTTACTCAAGAAAAAGCCATAAGCAGAGTGCTTGCGAGAGACACGGAAGGCAGTGCTTCAAGCCAGCACGGCATCTCACCTGGATAAAGTCTGGAAAGCGTTTTTTGCAGGTAGGGCAGGTGAAATAACCATCATTGACATGGATGGCCACGTGATCCTTAAGAAGATCCAAGCGGTCAAAGGACTCGGGACAGAAAATACAGGAGTATGTTTTCTGGTCCATGTGGAACTTCATGTGGCTCTCGAGAGCACCGCTGTTGATGAAGCCCTTGTTGCAGATGTCACAAGTCAACGGGCAGTTCCCTTCCCGTCCATGGAACCGCAAATGCTGATCCAGTTTGTCCTTTTCGCGGAAGGCCTTCCCACACTGGAGGCATTTGAAGGGGCGAAAGGATTTCCGTATGAAGAGGTGCTGAAGAGCTGCATTCTGAAAAAAAAAAACAGAGAGCATTAGCTTTTATTACTTTGTATAGATTCCACATCCAAATGTTTTCAAGATCAAACATACCAGGTGATCAGTGAACCTAAACTTGGAAAAATCCTTTGCGTTACGGATACTTTCTCCGTTTTACGGAAGGGGAGGCTGTGACATGCAGAAGTTAAGGGATAGACCTGCAGTTACACATTGAGTTAGGAGAACACAGTGAAGGAGTTCTCAGTCCCTGTTTTCTGCTGACTGAGCTAACTTTAGTCTTTAGCATGGCATTTTTCTGTTAAAAACCCCAAAGTCCTTTCTGAAGTACAGACCTAGGCCTGAGAAAAGCTGCAATTACAGCTGATTTTAGGGGATCGGGTCACAAGTTAAGCGACTATACAAAGAAAGGGCGAGCTAGTGCCCTGTCTTTCATGCAGGAGCAGGGCTTATGAAATTCCACAGCCCTTTACAAAGTCGGCTTCTGCACTAGAGATCACCACAGAGATGTGCAGCAGTGGTTTAGCTTTGCTGGAAAACGTCTAGCGGAATATACATTAAGGAGATGCCAGTCTAAACCTTTTTGTTATTGTCAAAAAGAAGAGAGTTTCAGAACATTACAGCAGGGGCAGAATGGCAGGTTTACAAGCAACAGGCATGATCTTGTGAGCAATCTGCCTACCTTTGCCATTTAGCATATATCATGTGCGAGAGCCTGAAAGGGAGGAAGATGGAAGTCAAACACACTGGTGCTAAATCAAGGAGAACTCTGACGGATTCTGTTGTCTGCTCAAAGTGTAGTTGATTATACATGGTCAAACTTGAAATTGCTTTTCTTGGTAAAGAGACTTTAGGAATATTGTGAATTGAGCATTAAGTGGGTTATGGGAACATTAATTTTAAATTTAACATACTGGGCTGCTCTCTTCTGGTTTTCCGTACTCCTACGGTGCAGTTTCTCTTCTCAGTCCCTGCTTTGCTTTGATGTGTGCTTCCCTTCAGTCGACCTTTCCTGTAATATTTCCTGATTATTACCCTCCCCCTTCAGATACAGGTGACAGAGCCATCCTATCCTGACACCAGCACTGTCTGCTGGAGGAACAGATGCTGCTGGACGTGTCACCTGTAGGAATAGGCAAGCATGCTCTATGCCTGCATTTCAGTATCAGATGGAAACTTGTACGTTGGCTAGTTGCAAAGCTGGAAGTCAGTCATAGCTCTGCATGCGTGAAATCCCACAGCACACCATCACCCATACTGTACCGAAAGTACATCACAATACTGCCATTTCTCTGCAAGAAGCCTAAGGAATATCTATTCTTCTCCAAAATAAGATCTGTACATCCTCATTTATTGATGTCTTCTCTTTTCAGATGTTGCACATGCAGGCTACATCACGACAGGTAAAGAAACAGCACTGGAACATTGCTGGCACCTATGTGTACCATGTTCACTATTGCATACTTCTCCGTGTGACATGTTCAAGAATTCTGCAAACAGATTTCCCGGCTTCCCTCTCTCCTTTTCTTGTGGGAACGTTGGGGCTGACATTTGCTGTGTCCCTTAAGCGTGTGCCAACAGCTGACACTGAGAAAGTAAAGTTAGGAGCTCTTCTGCTGGAAAGAGGGAACAGCTTGGGAATACTCTGAAATGCTGTGCTAGAGATTAAATCAGTGAACCTGTACGATCCTTTTCACCACGTGAACTGCTGAGGGAAAGCTGTCATTTCATTCCCCACAAAGCAATGCGAGAGCAACTGCTTTGCTATTAAAAAAGCAAACAGTTTAATACAGGAGCTCCAAATGAGCCCTCTCATGAACTGACATCTCCATTCTACAAGTGGGGACAATGGGAAACACAGGGATCTGCTGTCAGTCACACCGTGAGCTGGAAAGATAGACACGTGCTGTGTAAAAATTAACATGTTGCTTGGAGTCAGAAGTACGTAATTTCCTCCTCCGCTACAGGGATATACTAATAAACCAAATAGTTGAAGAGATGCACTTCAGGTTCTTAACTACAGCAGTACTTGTAACCCCCACCCTTCTGAGTGCTAAGATAGCAGGCCAGGCTTTTACACCACATCCCAACGCTATCTCAAAGGCTACAGAAGGGCGAAACCTTTTATTGCTCCTTGGTTAGATAAAAGTATAAAAATCAGAAAAAAAAAAAAAGAGAATTAAGTGTTGTCTCATTAACTGATAACACTGATATAGTGCAAACCATTGCATAAGCAAATCCTCCCAAACTTTAAGATGGATATTACAGTACCTCATCCAAGCAGTTTACTCCTGTAATAGTCACCTTAAATTTGTAATTAGTACGAAAAGAACTGGAAGAATGCCAATTGTTACTCAGATCAGACTTAGTTCTGGAGATTGGTTGCTTAAAGAAGAACAAATGTGACAATTTACGACGCGAGGTCAGTCGGGAGACACTAAACAGGCGCTGGACAAAACGAGACGGAAGGCGATGTTGTTACGTACCATTTGATTAGATACAGCAAAAACCCAACAATACGAAAACCCAAACCTACCTGCAGCTCCAGCTGAGCAGGCAGCATTGAGGGAGAGAAAAATACTTACGTTACGCCATGGACTTTCAAACAGAAGCCTTGACTTCTGCAATAGTCACGCTTCTGCGGGTCACTACGAGGGCCAGCTCTTCCAGCTAGAGTTTACTTTTTACTTAGGCAAAACTTCTTTGACCTATTTTTGCCTCAGGAAACACTAAGCAGATCTTCAAGGTTTACCCTGTAGTTAATAACTGCCCAAGGGGAGTTAAAGGGCAAAGATAAAACCAACAGATAATCTCGAAGGTGTTTTGTGACCTTTCATGTTTTCTCAGAGTTGATTAATAATGATGTAATGCCTAGTGCAGAGCCACAGTGAGGATGAAATACTTTTGGCAGAAGGGAATAATCAGGGCAGGATATCAACAGGGCAAGGATTAGAAGAGTGAAAAAGTTACTGAGTAGGGTCTTTTTTTCTTAACCTCCTCTTACTGTTTGTACTCTTTGTTATACAACCGGTTGCATTTCTTTCAGCATAAAGGAAGCAATTGTGCTTCCCAAATCATATCCCTATCCCTGCCATTCCTTCCTCTGAGTGCAATCACCTACACAATGGACATTTTATAGGGTCAGGCCTATGTGTTAAAAAAAAAAAAAAAGCGGCAATTTTGAAATGGAGATGTTCTTGGGATCAGCCCACAGACACTCTGGACACTGCCCAGAACTGAATTAAAAACAAATACTCCTTTTGGCTTTGGACCAAACATTCCTTTAATGTGTTACACGAGTATCTTGAGGGGTAAGCGTAACCCTTTTTCAACACTAAGGACATGACTGCCATACTTAAGGTCTGAGATCTCCAAGGAAACGCCACAGGCTCTAAAGCAGAGGCTGAAAAATGAACTGATCCTAACGGGACTGGAATCCTGGAGCACCAGAGATCACTGCTTCCAGCTAGAATGAAAGCACTCAGAGCATCACTGCCTTACAAAATACCTTACAAAAGCTGAAGCAATTCACAATTTTCAAAATTAAATCCTATGTGAATAATAAGAACGAACTAGAGCCATGCAGGTCTCCAGGTTATAATCAGGAGTCAAGACTTTCCACCCAACCTTTGGAAGCGAACGATGTACTACCCAGCTTAAAACCCAACGTTTGCTTGCTGGTAAGGTGAAGTGCATGGCACTGCAAGAATGTGCTATGACTACTTGAACTGAGCGAGTGCTCGTAGGGTGCTGGAGCTTGCTGTGATTTTTCAGTGCTCAAACAATAACGCTTGCTAGTTTACTCTTATCTCGAGTTCTCATTGCTCACTCTGACACAAGATGGAAAGGTGCTGTGCAACCATCCGTCTGCCATTCTGCCAGTGCCCCCCTCAAACGTCTCTGGGACTCTACTGGACACGAGCTGCCAGAGGTATGGGAAGTCAGGGAGATTTGGAGATACAGCATGTCACCAAGGACTAAACCACCACTGCACTCATCTCAGTTGTCATCCATTTCTGATGGATTTCCAGGGTACAAAAGCTAAGTCACAAGGCAAAGAAGTAGCTTTAGAATTTCTGTCCTTTTCTTCCCACATTTACTGTTTAAAACCTTCAGACCACATCTTGGGTTCAAAAATTCAGGGAAACTGGCAACACTTTCTCTTCCCATCACACCCAGGCCTCACGTTGTGGCATACCACGTTGTGGCATACCGTAAGCAGCAAATACTCATGCTCTTTACCATCAAAAACTCGGCACCTGCCTTCGTACTCTGCTATCCACAAGTAAATATTCCCCAGGCTTTTAACCTATCAACATCAAACTTGTCGTTCAGAGAGTGCAAGTACTTCATATGGTTAAGAATTCTGCAGTCTTCGCGTCCCTGAGCCAAATTCTTCCTTCAAGAGAAGCCACTGCATTTATGGGGTAACACCACAACCGGCCTCGCATGTATATTGCTACAAACAGAGCAAAACTTGGCTCAGCATCCTCCTATATGGAAGAGTCACTCAACTCTTTTCTAACCCTTTCTCATGCCCTAAAAATGAAGTCTTACCCCAATTGCAGCTGTTCCTTTCTGTAATCAAAATTTTACACATGGAAAACCAAGATTTTAGGCTAAATAAACCAATCTCACAGTTACCCTGCTTGAAGGATTATTTGCTTGAATCATTTCCCTCCCACACACAGTAGAGAAAAAACAGCTCTCCCGGTTGACACAAAGCTCAGGCTCAAAGTGTTTGCTGTCGGTACACAAAGCTCTTCGCACAGGTTTTAATCTCAAAGACAGGCAGTTTTTTCTACCCCAAGAAAGGACTTTATCACTAAATATCATCATCATATACTAAGTGGATCTAAACTGAGGTCATGGTTCCTCTTTGGCAACTGTTTGCAAGGAAAGAGTTCGGAGAGGCACAGATGGTGCTGTGAACGAGTCATTAGTCTGTGCCACAGTACCATGATTCAGCCGGCTGTTGGAAAACCTCCTGCTTGGCAGCTTGGATAGACTCTGTTTCTATGAAAGAATTACTGTGCTGGAGTTGAATCAGCTCCAAATGGTGACCAGCTCTCACGAGATACTAGTTCTTTACATGAGATGTGTCTTCCCCTCAGCGCAAAGAAAATTGCTAGGAATGAGGTGCTTTATTCAGGATTTGGAAGTGGATGCGATGGGGAGAGAAAGACCAGCTGGTCTTGGCAGGCAGGTCCGGCATTCTCTGGGCTACAGCACATGGAGAGGGTGCGGGAAGACGCGATCCGCCGCCCTCTTTGCTTACCCTGATACGCTTCGCTCGCCTCATGTCATCTGCTGTCATGGTGCTCTGCGTAGGCACCGTGCTCTCATCGTGCTGCGGCTGGATCTGTAGCGGGTGGCTTTCTGACTGCTGCTCCAGTGCCGACTGCGTCTCTGATGGCACTGGAGTCTGCTCCTGCTGCTCCAACCCATTCAGTGTGGCTTGGCCGGCCTCATCAAACTGCCCCTTGCTGGAAAAATGCAGCAAGTCCTGAAATCGCAAATCATACAACCAGTGATTATTCCCCCCACCCACTGAAAAATGCTTTGATAATACTCAGACAACAAGATTTCGACATGTTTGATCGCAAGCTGGAAACAAACCACTGTCTACGCTAACGCTTCCCTACTGTGCTCCAGGGATGCTCCCAGCAGATCACCTCACGCAAGCTCTTCTGCACTCCTGACTGCTACTGCTTTATCCAGAGTCGAAGTAGGTTGACCTGTGAGAAATCTTACACCCCAAGTGACTAGCACAGAGCAGGGAAAGCACAGAATTTCTGTCTCATTGAAATTGTTGTCACTTTGAAACATTATCGTGTATTGCTACGCAGTGTCTTCTCCTTTCTAACAAACTAGCTGGAGTGACAAACGAGGTCATTACACTGTGCGCCGTGTGCTGTACCATCCAGTTTCAAGCTCTGCACACTCTCATCTACCCAGCTGCAGGCATCACTTATATTTATCACACAAAGCTGTTTTCCTCCTTTTTCGCATTAGCATAAAAGGGGAGGGTGCTGGGAGCAGGAACCGCATGCCAAAAGTCTACATTCTTTCCATAAAAATTCCAATAACTCCTCTGGGATGGAGTATTTACAAGAGAAAAAACCCCATAGATCCTTATCTGACATTGCTTAATGCAACTAAGGAAACTGAAAAGCACAAGCTAGGAAACGGTATAAAAGCCTCAAGGCTGGTACTGTCAAAGCACAAAAGGTGGTGTGGGAGAAGAAAAACAGGGAGGCGCCAGAAGGAGCTGTTATAAACCTGTGAATGCTTACCCAATAGAGACACTTAGAGCAATATTCCAGCCAAATGCCCAGTCCTGGTCTAGGTGACAAGCTTCCACCCTTGCTGAGACTCAACTGTGCTCACAGCATCCTGCATCTCAAATTCTCGGGCAGATAAACTCCTGCCTAGCCATTGGTGAGGTGGGCAGAGCTCCAAAGGCTTAGGACATAACCATGGCCCTGCTCAACATGGGAGCTAGCTCCAGGCCATGGTCCAAGCTAGCAGGAGGTGAACCACCTCCAACCCCAAGGGCATTCAGACACATTAGCACAGGACTGGGCCCAGTAAGCCCTGTCTCGCTCGAATTAGAGCTTGAGAACAGCATTATGCTTACTTGTCTAAATGGAACTGGCTTGTGTCAATCAGCTTGCAGAGAGGGTGATCTCGCAACTGCCTGCACTTAATGCAACGTTTAGGGTGATTCTGCATGCTCAGAAAATGAGCGGTGGGCATTCACAGGCAATGTATACATTCCTCCCTCTGAGTCAGCACCAAACCATGACCCAGCGAGATGCCGGAGGCAAATTACCACAGCAGATATCTGCTTTCAGCTAAGCCATAAACCAGAGCCGCTCATCCCTTGTGACACCTTTCACGAAAGGCCTTGGTGGTAAGCTGAGCACGGTCAGCAGCGGACAGAATTTACTTAGACACATGCATCACATGAGATCCCTCCAGAACATAACCAACAGCCACGAGCAAAAGAACATTTTGCAGTAAGTATGCCTACAGGAGGCCTTTTGTTAATATTAAAGCATCATAAAGAGTCATAGCTCAAACTGATTTAATTCCACCAGCAACAGTTATAAGAGCAGGCTCTGACCTCATGTTCCAGAAAGGACAAATACGAACCTAAATCCCCATTACAGCTTCGCTGTCTAAATGACTTCTGCGACGCTGCTAAGCTGCTGCAATAACCTATCTCACTGCTAAGTGCTCTGGGATGAAAGTTGCTGTAGAAATGCAAGTGATTTTACAGTTTTTATAGAGGGAAAGCAGTGTGCTTCCCTGGCAGAGAATCACAGCTAGAAACCCACAAATTAGTCGGGTATAAAACCAAAGCCCACTCTCAATTTGCACTCATGCCCCAAATTCTTTTAGTCGATGAGTTTACATCCCCAAGTGATATTTTTTTTTCTTCCTCCCCATCTCCCAAATATATACCTGCGTCCCTTCTTCACACTTCTCCCCGTTTTCACTGGTTACTTCCATACGCATGAATTTGGGAGGGCGCCCTGGGCGTCTGCCTGGTCCAAACCTCCTCTTTCCTCGCCCACGACCTCGGCCTCTGGCTCTGCAGAACACACAGCACTCCAGGTTAGAAACACATGGATTTGGAATCTCCGCTGACTTCACATGCTCTTTCTCAGCATCACTGTTCACCCATTCAGCTCAGTAACAACGGCCCGCAGTAAAGAATAAAATCTGAAGAAATTCTGGCAGCAAAGAAACAGGGTACTGGCTGGTGTCTATTTATTTTGTGCTCTATGAGAAATCAAGGTCCAAAACACATTAAAATTTATTTCAGTAATCATGGGACAGAGAGAACTACTGGCTCCCAGCGAGTCCTCTGTCATGGCAACTCTCCTACTTCCAACACCCCAGTATATGGAGTGCTGGAAAGCATTTTCAGCTAGATGGAACACAAGGAAACCAAATTTAAAACCTGAAGCCATAACATCCCTTCCCAAAAAGGTACTTAGCCAGTGATGTCAGGCAGCAACCTGAAGGGAACAATTTTCTGTGTCAAAAAATAGGGAAAACAAAACGCAATCACTTGCTAAGTTTCAGGAAAAAGAAGGCCCCAGTGCTTCCTACTCTGATGGATGTTTGTAGGTTCGGCTTTTACTAGCTGAGGATAAACAATCTTGCCAGCCCAATGAGGAGCCAAAGCATGCCCAGATTCATTCTCCAAGCTCTGTATCTGCACACATCTGAGAAGCATCAGTATTTCAATACTGTGGTACTGAAACACTGAGATTGGTGAAAAACCAAAGGAAAACCCCAAAAAATCTCACTAGTTCCAACGGGGCATTTATCTCCCTCAAGCTACTACTGCCATCACAAAGCCTCTCCCACCAGCCAGCTCCTTGGTGCCATATTCTTCCCTTCTGGTGCTTACCCGTTCTCTCACGGGTACCCAAGTGGGTCAGTAAGAACTGTGGGGCAAAGACCCTCCTTTCTGCAAGTTTGGGGAAGCTGCACACAGACAAAGCTGAAGCTTTCAGTACCTGCTAAAGAAGTCCAGCTTCTCATCGTGGGAGTTGAGGTGCTGCTGGAGTTGCTCCGAGCTCATGAAGCGACGATTACACTCATAGCACGGCCAGTTCTTCTCCTGCTCTCTGAGAACTACGTTCAATTGGAAATGTCAATTAACAGCATTTCAGTCACCACCAATTAAACACCTCATTCCTCCTCCCCAAAGCCCTTCTGTCCTTCCTAGGACGTATTTCTCCCCTGAAGGTTAGACAGACTGCAGAATACCCAGCACTGCTCCATTTAGCATCGCTATCATCCCCTCTGCACCGTGGCAGGACTACGGCTCGTGGCAGAAAGACTAAGAGGTTGCAGGGGAAAACGTACAGACTACATATGCTGCTTGAAATTTGGGGAGATTTTAAAATACACCTTTGTGTGGAACAGCGCCTACAGGACTGTGTCTCAGGCATAAATTCGGGGCAGCAAAGAGAAACTTGTCAATCTAAAGCACATCAGGTTACGGCATAGACTCACCATTGGACATCGAGTACAGAACATACCTGTGTCCAGCAGCAACCTAATGCTTCCCAGAAACTGAGGTGGAATGTTAAGTTATTGTAACATTGGCATGAGAAGACTTAGCAGAAATCAGTCTCAATAACACAATGGAGATTTGGTCGAACTTTTCTTAACCTAGCAAAGTCTGGGAGCGCCGTACGAGCCATGTATTTACGACTAAGAAGTACAACAGCCAGCCACTACCACACTGCACAAACAGATAGCAGAAGAGCCCAAGTTACCCTTCCTTTCCTCCTCAGATATGTCATGGATCTTCTGGTTCACAAACTCTGCGTAAGAGGCCGCGTACCACACCTGCCGCAGGAATACAAGATAACCAAACGCTTAGGTGGAACCAGAACTAAAGGGAATTTGTTTGAAAATAGGTTTTAAGTGATACATTTACTTCCACTCACCTAAACCACGGCCTCTCTCACCTTCAATAATAAAGCCAGTTGAGAACAATATGTCCCCACTGAGGAATAAAGGCGCTTTGCTCAGAAAGCATATCCATTTAATTTTAAGGTATAGCCTCCTAATATGAATGTTAATCTCACACATGGCTACCAGTAGCTCTAAAGGAAAGAATATTAATCTCTTTATACCCGACTCTATGATTGTAAAGGGCGGATGTCAGCAGAGTACCGTTATTTGTTGTACCAAAAAAAACAGAAAAGCTTTTAAATTGGGGGATTTCCCATTTCTTTCCTCCTCTCTTTACACAGACAATAGGCAGCACCATCCACAGAGACTCATTTAAACTGTTGCTGGATTTCTGAAGGAGTGGAACAATACCGTCCTGCTTCCCAAAGCAAAGATCTGCCAGGCTGCAGCATGCTGGACCCACTCTTGTGGGATACAAGGGATTTAGGAAGCCTTCAGCAGAGAGAACCGCAGGAGGCAGAAAGACAAAGTTTATTAGGGCCTAAAATCAGACACACACATTTAGCTCAGAATCCTTGCTTCATCTCTCATTTTATCTTACTGTTTGTTTAAAAAGGTTCAATTTCAGTAGAGACTTTAAAAAAGCATGAACAGATTTTCAGCATGAAAAATCCAGGCAGGTTGAAACTTGCTGTGGGCCGCAGGCTAAGAAAACGCAGTGGCGAGTGGCATTTCTAACTCCTTCAACGACTCGCCAGCAGGTACGTGTGTTACTTCGCAGGAGTCTCACCAGCTGGACAGAGAAAGCCTGGAGCTCCTAGACTGCTCACCCGTCATGCTATATGGAAGTTCTCAACTTTAAGTAATTGCCTTTCAATTATCAAACCAATTTTACCCCAAAAGACACTACTAACACATGATGCAAGAAAAATGGTGCTTCTATAGGCAGGTCTGTATGGATTTAATTAAAGTTTTATTTCAAATAGATTTCAAAACTGTAGAGAAAATGCTGTTTGTATACACATAAAATGGACTAACAAGGTTTCTAGTGATTCAGCTTAAATTAAGGACTGATTGCAGAGAAACCAGAAAGAATCCTACTCTTAAAAATCAGCAACAAGTATGCAAGCAGACTTTTCCCCTGGTTTAGCTACGTGTGTTTAAAACTGGTTTTTGTGAAATTCTTGCAATTTATGTGCAAGAAAAGGTTTGAAGAAGAACAAACCATTTCCCAATACAAAAAGTCTTTTGGTTACAGCCAGTTCCCCCAAAGACGTTGGAAACAACGGCCATCTCAGCCAGGCACACTGCTTTGAGCCCAAAGTAATCAGTACATTTTGAGAGGGAACAAAAAGTAACTCACAGGGAAGTCCCAATATCCTTTATCACTTTCCACATGCAAAGTTTCAAAAGTTCCAGGAAAGCCAGGTAAAGTGAGAGACCATATTCACTTAAGGCACCAGAAAACAAGTCAAGGGCACACAGGACTAACTGGAAAGGGCATCCAGAACTAAAAAGGGTAAGACTGCTGCAATAAAAATTAGATTGCATCAGCAAAATATATGCAGCATAAAGCATGACAGTGACAGACAAATCATTTACATACTCTTATTTTAAGCTTCCTCATTTAATTCCTGAGCTCATTTAAAACCCGTAAGCCAGTGGCTAACTACTACTGACTTCAGTGACATTCGATTCAGGCCATCACGTGCTTCATCAGAGAAAAACAGCTCTGAAAGTACTGACAGGGATCACTCCTGGCACTCGGGGATGCACTCATTAAGTAGCAGCTCTAAGATTTTACTTCATCAGTATAAAAAAAAAGTCATGAAATGCAAGCAATGCCATACCTTCAGTTCCTGCTTGGGCTCCACGTTTTTAATGGTGGTGTAATAGATATGGTGGCCGTACTGATACGCTACCAGGTTCTGCTCCAAATGGTTTTGAGCTGGACGCACAAACATCATCCAGTTACAAAGAGCCTCGCTAGAAAGTTCAAACCACAGGTCCTCTTGCAAATCTCTGTCTTTCCTGTCACCCTTATCAAGAGACACCTGTAGCAAAATCCAATTACAGATGACTGTAACCGCCTGGCAGCAGGTTCAAAAGAATTTGAGTTGCTAAAAAAACTATTGCGACCATGCAAGTTTTACACTGGGAAAGCAATGAAGGTGTAGCTAATTTCCTCTCTTTGCTAACAGGACCCAGAAACAGGCAGCACTTCAGAAAAATACTTAAAAACTGAGATTTAACTAGGGAGACACGATGGATCCCTCCATGGCTTTCAAGGGCAAGCAGCACCCGTTACATGGGTCAGACCTGCTACTTATGTGGCTGTAAGAGACACAAGAAGCTGTAGCTTTAGTAGGCTGTATGTCATCAATCGTCAGATTTTTCTAACTGGCAGACCCACTTCTCCTTTCATTTCCTGACTCGTGACACTGCCTCAATCTGGAGGCAGCAACTTTTGTTGGGTTACCAAATCTGCCTGTGATCCAACTTCCTTGTCAGGCGCTGACCGTCAGAGAACAGCGTTCCTAAGACTGTGGACCTAATCTCCAGCAAATAAAGAACCAATTCCTATAATGAAACCAGTAAATACATGGATAAAAGTCAAATCCGTTGTACCTCACGCCAACGACTTGGCATGAGGAAGGGGAGAAAAACGTTTCCTCTCTCCTCCATCCTGTGGGGTAGAGGAGGGAAAGGGGAAGAAAAATATTTTTAACTTAAGTTACAGCATGACACAAAATAATGGCTGCAAAACATCCTCAGATGGGGCTGCTATTTTTGTGTCCAGATGCTGCTTCAGCCCACGTGAGTGTGATTCACAGCATTTCACGTTCCGGGCCCTGTATAGCGTAACACCATCATGCCAGAACATTCACCACGATCACTGCGTCTCCCTGAATACCAGATTTCAAGCCAAAGCAATCTGGGTGTTTCTGAGTTACTTTCAGAGAAGGAAGTTAACAAAAGAACATCTCCAGCGAGGTAACTGATCAAGGCACAGTAACAAAATCATGAATATCCAAGCTTAAGCACAAACTAATCCCTCTTTTCTTGCGCACACCCCGCCTTACCTTCAAATGGATATAGCAGTCTTTGAGTTCAGTTTGTCTAACCAGGGGTCCTTCCACAGGCCCAAACTGCGTGCGTTTTGGGATACGCCTTTTGGAGAACACACCTCCCAAAAACCTGTCTATGTAGAGCACCAAGGGGAGGCTGGCTCTCGCCCTGGTCAGCACAGGCCGGTTTGGGATTGGATGCAAAGGTCCGTGTTTTGGACACACAGAGGGATGTGCGTTATTACACTCTTCACACCCTACAATGCAAAGTCAGAGAGGACATGGCTGTCAGGCAGACTCTCACGCACCAGCTCACAAGAGACAGCTTTATCTCTCTCTCTCTAAACATCTTTGGCTCAGCTGAGGAACCTCTATTCCAATAATCTACCTGCATTTTTAAATATTAGAGGGCAGCCTCCTCAAAATGAAGAGCAAAGCAGCTCAGACTCCACACCTAAGACAAAGTCTGAGCGTTTTAGGGAGGCAGCCCCATACGAGTACACATTTCTGGGTGTAAAGGGGTTTACTTATTACTGCTAAAATCTGAATGGCTTGACACCCCATTTACTAGAGGGCTGGCAGAGGGGAAAGAGGAAAGAGGAGGGCAGTTAATACACCGCATACTACTTCATATGCTTACACAAATCATTGGGATCAAAGGGTCGGGGGGGATCTGGGTCCCATTCATCCATGTCAGTGTCTTCCCCTTCTTCATCCTCATCTTCATCCTCATCATCTTCCTCTTTAGTTTCAATCCTTTCCATCTGATTCTGCAGAGGTGCTAAAGGGTCAGAACCATCCACTGCCTCCATAGGAGGTAACACCTGGTTATGCACCGGTAACGATGCCTGAGGAGAGAATTCACAGCAAACAATCAAACCTGATTCATGAGGAAAAACACCCTTATAAAGACGAGCGGTGAAGGTTCTCACTAGTCTACCCTTTCTGCTTCCTTTGGAAATGGAAGGAAGGACAAGGGGAAGTGAAGCGGCATGATAAACGACTGCAGAGGGACATGTCGCATCGCTGCTGCTGACAGCCTCACTCGGGACGGTTCTGTGTCACCTCCTAGCTCCACCCTGTCAAGGACTGACTTCTCAGGACAAGAGACAGAAATAAGAGAAGTTCTGGACCCCCACAGAAGGTCTGAAACAAAGTGCAGGCTCTGCAGAAGTTATCTAGAGCCTAAAGCTGTATTTCAACTTCTGTACAAGTGAGAATCCTGCATTTTGGCACATGGTCTCTTCTCCCCTATCATACAATCAATCAAAACCAACCCCCAGGACACGCATGCAGAGAGCAATAAGAGATGAGACAATGCAGGGACTAAACTATGGGGCATGGAGGACAGTCGAGGACATTGTATTCTCACTGATTTGAAAAGTTACCCCTTCCTCTCCCTACAGAATAAAAACAACAATTAATGGAAGTGCACTGCACGGAACATTCCATCACCCACGCTGGTTTCTCAGGTAGAGACCAAGAAATACTACGCACAGTAAAGCTGTCTTAAGAGATCGGCAAAGCGACCCAGCGGATGTAGGTCCTAAGTGACAGTCAGCATTACACCCTCTGTTAACTTTGCCTTTCAAAGCCAAGAGGAGTCTTAAGGTGGTTGCTCAAGACAGAACAATTGGTAGAACAGGTAGATTAAATACATGATTTCTCCCTAAAAAAACCCCACACATTCCACGGTGAGACTATGAAAGACAGTACAGCTCTGCACTACAGCTTTCTCACGTCTCCTCCCAGACCACTCAGCCACGTTTCATCCCCTGAGACAATGGAGCAATGAAAGCGGTGCACTCGTACATTGAAAAGGAAAGGGTGCCTGGCAACTTACTCTATCTGCTTGCGGACCCTGCTCCAGAGCCATTTGCTGGGGGGATTCAGCAACGCTGCCGAGCACAGACAGGTTGGTGGGATTCATGCTCTGAGCAGCAGCAGGCAAGAGCACAGTTACCTAAAATTATAGGCACTCATTTTAGCACTGCGTCATTTCCATCAGTCACTTACATACGGACAGTGCGCTGCATGCAAAGCTCCCTGGAGGCCGACACCAGGACAAGAACTGCAGCATTTTAATGATCTTCTTCGCCTCAGTAGGGATGAGGGACTTGAACAAAACCTCCAGATCCAGGGACAACGGGAAAGGCTTTAAAACTCGGTCTAGGTTTTGCAGCGTTTGAATTTCCCATTTCCCACCTGTGGCTTTAAATTAAGGTCCGATCCAGCCAGGGTTCACACTGCACTAAAAACAAGCACGAGGAGCTCTTTGGCTCTTGGTAAAAGCAGTGACTTTGGTCTTTATCTCTTCTATCTGCAAATTTGTTTTTCCTTTTTAAGGGAAAAGGCAAAGAAGGAAAAAGCAGCACCTCCTCTTTTTGCCTATCTTTCTTTTTCTCAAGCCAACCGAGACCCACTATAAAAACAAGACCTCATTGGGAAACCAAGCACTCAAATGAGAGGGTCCCAACAAGTATTACTCTCCACATTATTTGGTCACGCTATATATTTTTGCTTGCTTTCATACTCTTCTTTTTGTGTAGCAACAAGAAAATTAATGCATATTACCGTAGTGCTCCCATGCCTTCAGCAATAAAACAAAGCAGAATTAAGATCCTAGGAATCACCTTTCCTGTCTTCTGTTTCCTGCTTATCTTATACAGGGATTCGCACCTTTATCCCACATGATTTGTCATCCTTCTCTGCAGTTGACATCACGTGGCTTCTAGTTTGTGCCTCTGACTGTTAAACAGCTTTTACACTAAAATTAAATCCCTTGACCCTCTACAGAGTGTTTAATAAACATCAGATAAAACCGAGAAGTGCGAATCGTGCCAACAGTGAAGGAGGAGACAAGGAAACCCATAACATAAGCAGACAGACAGCCTTAAAACTTCCAATCTAGTTGTTTTGTTTAAAGAGGTATTAAGAGCCATTTACGAAACTGCTGAAAAACTACGAAAACAGCAAAAAGACTTCAAGGAACCGTGCAACAGTGAGGAAGAAACCGCCAAGACGACAGCTGAACCAAGCTGTCTGGTATTGACATTGCTGGTGCCAAGTGGCAACAGGAAAGGCATCGTTATTCCATGGCACACCTCCAGGTCTGCCAGCAACAAGAGGTTCACGCAAGCTTGTGTCTGTTTGTGCATTTCCTACTACTAATCACACTTCAAACACATCCCTACTTTCCCTTCCATGTCAGACACCGCAAGGACACAACCTTTCCATTTAATTTTAAGATAAAGTTTCTTTTGAAAGACAAGAGGAGCTTGGATTTTTGGACATTTGTTGTCAGTTCAGGGAAGTCCCATGGATGTACAAGCACCGGCAAAAGCAGGAGCTGCCTAACGAGGGACAAAGCGTTCACAAGCGTACAAACATCTCTGCCAGGGCTACTGTCAGGAAGGAAGGATGGGCTGAGAACACCCAGACAAGTGCTCACGCCCTCGATACTCAACACGGGACAGCAACAGCACACCACCAGTGCTGTCAGAGTGTCACTTGCACCCCACGTGTGGCCTCTACTTTCAATTAGGTCATACAGTTATTTGTTAAATGAAGTTTAAGACAATTAAATAGGATTTTGGGGCTTAATGCAAGGAAACGGATATGGCAAAAAAATGCAGAATGGCACTCCAAATACCTCCAGACAACTGGAAGCAAACAGGTAACACCTTTATGTGTCGGTCATATCACTTCCTGCCCACACCTCAACAGCTCAGAAGGTCTTTTAGCATGAAGAAAATTTCTTTTCAGTGCACACTCAACCCTTGGCTCCACCCCAAGACTGTCACTAAATGATGGCGTTAGTAGCGAGTCAGATCTAACATGTCAATTCACACGTGCCACTGAAGATTCACCAGACAGTCAGGATTAAGTCTCCATGGCCAGAGAAGAATTTGAACGGGAGATGTAGATCTGAAAGCACCTACACCTGATCGCCACGATGCAGTCCCCAAAGAGGCTAGTAAAAGTTAACCGCAAAACCTTCACATCCGTGACAGGTGAAGACAAGAAAAATCAACAAAACTTTATAACCACAGGCCCCAGTTTTGTTCTGCTCCTCACTCACTTCATGCTGGCCAGCACATCAGACCTGGGATGCCCTGGGAAGGTACGGGAGTCGGTAATGGAACTTCTTCAGGGTTTATAACTGATTTCCTAAGAAGTTTCTGGTAATTCTAGAGTCTGATCCACAATTTGCATCCCTTGAGAGCCTCTTACGAATTTTAAGGCTTTTGGACCAGAATCTGCACAAGGATCTCATCTTTCCAGCATGGCACTAAAATTGTCAGCCACATCAGCTTGCTGACTTAAAGGGACACTGTTAGAAGACTTTTCTCATTATATCTGGGGCAGTAAATTAGGGTTTTTTTTTCCATGTGAATTAAATAAACCAACTCAGACTCTCTTAACCGTTTACTATCATGCATGCACCAACTAGCCACAATAACAGAGGCTTGTTATCATAAGCTTTTAGCCCCTGATCACTGGGATGACAGTAGCCGACTGATGACTGCCCTTCGACAAATTCAGCAGCAGCTTATTACACTCTAGCACCAAAATCGTCCCTTTACCTTCAACACTTTCCTTACTGTGTCAGGGCCAAGGAAAATAATGTCTTTCTTACCTGCTGGGTGGTGGCATCCTGCTGGACGTAAGCCACTTGGGACGGATCTGTAAACAGAGTCTAGACAAAGTGAAAAAGGCTTATCAAACTGGCCTTGGGGGTGGTTACTCCCAGCTCACACCAAAATTAGCCTGCCACCAAGTGATCCACATCTGATCCTTTGCTAACTTCTAATGTGCCTTCTATCACCAGAGCAGGCCAATTCAACTTACCCATATGAGCCCACATGCAGAGATTAAACAAAAAGTAGTGCTCCATAAAAAGATAACGTATGTATGTGGCACTTTTCATCTATATACTTAAAGTGCTTCACAGGATTTTTTTTCCCCCTTTCCCTTTGTGTTTTTAAATACAGAAATCACTTTGTCACTTGCTGATTTGATAAATTCTACGGAAAGAAATTCAATAGCTGTATGAAAGGTAAGTAATACTTGAGCGCAGGACAGGAGCTGACTATCAACTTTATCTTTCTTCAAATTCACAAGAGTTCCTCCACAGAAAGCATGCAGTTATCAGGCCTATCCTACATGTGGATTAGATATGGCCATCGTGTTGGGTTTTCTAATTTCATAGAAGTCATGCCAACTCCAATATTCTTACAGCAGCCTGCAAGAACAGCCCTGGCTGGAGGGCTTCCCCCTAGGAAAAGCAAGATAATTTCATCTCAGCTGCAGGATAGTGTCTTAATACTACACTTGTTTTGACAAAATGATAGTATTCAGACTTTTGGAGAACTTCTGGGGATACAGCCTCTCAAAATATCCTCTCTCAGAACATCCCACCACATAGGAACTGGTTTTATGTAACAGCTAAGAACTGCACAAGAGAGAGACCACGCCAGCGCTGCTGTGGGTGTCAAGTATGTGTACTTAGTAACATTGCTAATCTGTCCTGTCAGCAAAGACAACACAAAACATTCCTGACAAAGCCTGCCTGTTCCTTTTTTTTATCTGTCCACACAGAGGTACAGATGCCTACTGTGTTAACCCCACATAAACACAGGCTGTCAGAGAATAAAAGCTATTTGATGTAATTATGAAGAAAAAGAATCTAGGTCTACAAAATCAGCAACTTCTCTGAAGAAAGACTACAAAATTAGATTGACTACACTGAAATCCTCTGCAAAAAGACATGACTCTTACTGTAAATATCAATTTTGAGAAGCGTACTTTGCAGAACAAGGACTCTTCCAGAAGAGACACAGATCACTTCATATTTTACTGAATAGAGCAGAGGCAGAATTTCTGGAGAGATTATCCGTGGTTTAGAAAACACCTTTCATATAATTATAATCTCATCCACCTTGGGCAAAGCAACCAGCATTCCATAATTCATAGCCTCGATATCCTTTGATTACCACATCTGCACATCAGACAGATGAACAGCGTGAAGCCCCTGTTCTGCAACGGGCAGATACAAGTGTTAAGAGCAACTGCCTCCCATTTTCCAGTCATACCACTTTGCTGGTAACAGGCTTTCATCTCAGACAAGATTTTTGGGTTTCCTAGGTGCCAAAACAGGTTGGGCTCAGAACCACACATGCCTGCGTAGCTTCCACGGGATGGATGTAAACCAGCGTGTGCTCCGAGGTGTCCACAGAGGTGTAGGAGGTGCCATCCGCCGTGTAGACCACCTGCTGCGAGGGACGGTCCTGCTCGTCACTGTACACAATCTGTGCCACTGTCCCCCCCTCAGGGACAAAGTGCACCTGGAAGATAAGAAAACCAACACGGATCCTGTACTGAAACATGCCTCTGGCAAACACAAGACCCATAGGCTGCAAGGTGCCTTGGAAAGCAGAGAGTCACGTCCCAACTACTCAGCCAAATGGTTTAAAAACAATTTAAAAAGTCACTGTGTAACACACATTTAAAACCTCAGTGAAGCAAAACCTCAGCCCTACCAACACAGAAATCTGGACACGAACAACCATCACTCTCTGGGTTTACTCTGCATTTTTGCTCTAGACTTCCCTGGTATAAAGGCACCTTCCCACCCTTTGTTCTCGCACAATGGTTTGAAAGTTCAGATTTGAACTGGTGTATCTACAGGATTTATTGGTATATTGTTTCCCTTTATTCTCATATTCCTTCCTGGATTTATGATAATTACTTCACTCGGCTAGTTCTGTAGTCGGCGGTAATTTTTTCTGTTTGATGAACGGCCAACAGAACCTATTAACTTGGATGCTGCTTCGAGTAACAGCACTGCACCCATCACCAGGAAGTGATAGTGCATGCTAGATTGCTTCTCTGTCGTATGTACATAGGGTATCTGGAGAAAAATCAACTATTTAAACACAAACATATAACTGGAAACAGTAAGCAATGATTCCAAGGACTACCACAGCAAGTTCTGTCTAGGGCAGCAGCTTAAATCCAAACAAGCTGATTTTGACACATTACAACCATAAGTGATGATCAGTGGCTACCTTAAACAAGCCAGACTAATTCCAGTGGCAACAGGAACATGTTTATCTTTTGACACCCTTTACATGCTGAAAACCATTTTCAGCACATGGGTGAAATAGGACAGCGAGCAGGAAACCTAGTTTTTGTAGCCATCTTCACATAAAAATATGGGGAAAAAATCCCAAACATTGTGGCATGATTTTATTTACTCTGTTTCACGTTCAGCTTTTGTTTCAGAAGATACCTGCTACTCACCTGCAGGTAGGTGCTCAGTGCTGACTGCACAACAAATCCTCATGCAAACAATCCGGTAGGATGTGTGCAGTGCTTCACATCTGGAGAGCACCCTGCAAATCCTAATTAAGCCCTATAACCGCCCTGTGCAAACACCGGTACGGTTATCCCACTGCATAGATAATGGTACACAGGCCACTGAAAACTGCCTCTCTGCCAATTTCAAAGATGGAAATGACCCGGAGAGTCAGAATTTCCCAGTTTGTGGGTCAGAAGACATGTGGCTCCCTCTTTATAACATATTCAAAAGAATGAATCTATAGTGTTCTAGAAATTCTCAGCTGCATTGTCTTAGAGAGGGATAGCTGCACACATCAGAATCAGATTCTATTAGTCACTAACAATTAACGTTTCTCCCTTCCCCACTACCCAGATGTCCGCCTGGAAAAAAACATTCCTATTACTTTCCCCAAGGCCCACCCCCACCTCCAACTGATTTGACCAAACCCATCAAAATGGGCTGCCACAGATTTGTGCATATTCATTAATCAGAATGCCCTTTCCCACATGGTTATATGTTTATTTGGACACTGAAACTTCCATAGCCACTGGCTGGTTTCGTTCAGCTCGTTTCAGATGTCTGCGTATTCACCACTGTGGCTTGCACAGCTCACTTCCTGGAGCTTTCATACAAAATCACACCAGACAAGTCTGTATTTCTCCTCAAATGAAAGTTTCCAGACTATTAAGGAATAGCCCAACAGGAACACCTGCTCACGAAGCCCAGTTCGGTCTGAGCAGAGCCCGGGTGCTGCGGAAGGCACTAGTCACCTGAGCAGCATTCTGTTCCTGCTCAGCAGAGTCAGCCCACACCTGAGGACTTCGCTCTTTCGAGTCCATCTCATCCCTGCCGTGGTGCTCCATGAGGAGAGAGATCTACTGGAGGAATGTCTGGCTGAATAGATTCATCTGTTCCCTGTGTTCCTACTTCCAGAAGACAAGGTGATCTTCAGTTACATGGCTGTGAAAACAAAAAATAAAGAGATGTAGATATTAGAGCAAGCGCGACACAGGGAATGGAGATATCATCAGCTGCTGCGCCGCAGGAACATGCTGCCAGAGTAAAGCAGGCTTGGCTTTACGAACACGTGCGTTCTCATTTACCGTGCCCAAGTTCTGCTGTGAAAGACTTTCCTGCCCTGTTAAGGGGGAAACAAGTCAACCATTGCTATGATTGCACTGAAGGATTATACAGAATGCCTCCTGCACTTCTCCCCTTGCCCACAGGCAGCCCACATAACACAGGCAGTCTTCACATTGTCCTTGTGGCACCTACAGGCCCAGAAATCTGTAAGTGATGCAGAAAATTAACCTTAAGCTTCCAAGAAGAAAACGCTACGTTCAGAGACGCATCACCAGCTTCTCGGTTCATCTGAAAGAGGTTTTGAGAACCAGCTTTACATCTCCAGGCAGCTTTCACCTTGCCCAACACTGCAGTCCCAGTTGGAATTCAGGTGAGGTGGGCTGACCCAGAAAGCATGAAGAAAGGCTCGAGATAAGGACAGGGAGATCGTTCAGCAATTACCATCACAGACAGAAGAGACTCAGCTTGGGAAAAAAAAAAATGTAATTTAATTTATCACCAATCAAATCAGAGTAAATGAGAACTCAAACCAAATCTTAACACACCTTCCTCCCATCCCTCCCTTCTTCCCAGGCTCAAATTCACTCCCCATCGCCCGAGCAGTGCAGGGGGACAAGGAATGGGGGTATGGTCCGTTCCCAAGTGGCAGAGACAATGTGATGGAGGATGCCTTACATTCTGGCCCTGCTCCAGCGGGGCGTCCCTCACAAGGGAGACAGTCCTCCAACAACTGCCCCCCACGGGGTGTAGTCCTTCAGGAGCAGCTGTTCCAGCCTGGGCCCCCCTGAGGTCACAAGTCCTGCAGCAAACCTGCTCCAGCCCGGCTTCCTCTCTCCCCAGGG